CCCCAAAACCCCAAAACCCCAAAACCCCAAAACCCCAAAACCCCAAAACCCCAAAACCCCATAGGATATTATAAATATTGGATAAAATGGACAGTAATACTGACTCAGACCAAGAGTTCGTCGAAGGTAAAGAGCTTAAAGTCTCTTGACAATAAACCGGGACTGCTAAAAATTCTTATGCATTCTTTCTTCATACAAATTAGTTGTGCCCACAAGTGCTCGTTTAGAAGGCGGCTAAAAATAGTCCTAAGATTGAATGCCACTTGCCTAAAACAATTTTAAATTGATGCGATATATAGATGAACACAGGTCTATTAGGCTAAACCCAGATACCCTCTCTTCAGACCTCAGCTCGCCTAGCAAGGCCAGTTCCAAAAATGGGAAAGTGGATACTCCTAAAGAAAATAGTGACAAGAAAGTAATTTACCTTAAAGAAGCGAATTCATCCCAATTTCTTAAAGTTCTGGATGAGCCAAACCCTCTGAGCTTTATTAACAAGAAGCCTAGAGGGTCCATGAAAAATGAGACTGTCAACAAACAGTCCATGATGGTTGACCGGATGGATTCTATCAAGTCTATGAAGCAGAAAATGTACATGGACCCTTTTATGAGAACCAACCAGGCTCTTCTCAAACGTCTGGACAGTATCTCCACCCTGTTTAATAAGGATGGAGGAGGTCCGAGCTCTAAGAAAGGTGCCCAGGAAAATAACTTTTACTGCACCAATTTCCCTAGTCGCGTGAGTCAAACTTCCAACAGATTTGGTGTAAGAGATACCCCTATGTTCAGAGCTGAAGGCATATCTGAAAATGATGTCACAGATTTTGACAAAAGAATGTCTTCTACTATTAGTGGATGGGATAACAACCGAGGTAGCTCTATAATCTCAGGGAATCCTTCCCAGAAAAAGATTTCAGATACCCTCAAAGGAGTCATGAATATCAAAGACCAAATGAACAAGTCAGAAGTTTCAGTGATCAGTGTTAATGAGATCCTTGATTTTGATGATTATGTTCCGTTCAAGCCTGAAAATCATCTTGAAAAGATTGATGAGGAGAAACAACAAATTCTTGATAAAGATCAAGAAGAAAGAAAGTCGACCCTCATGAAATAATCAACCATACAGTTTTCAAGAGGCTCGGATGAGCGAAGAAGAATCATATACAAGTCGAAGTGAATCAATGAGTGAGACTAGCGAGTCTGATAATGAAAGTGAATACGTAGATCATCTCAAAGTTGAGCCGAATATTAGACTAAAAAGAGCATCAACTTTTAATTCAGCACAAGTGCATCAAAAGATGCTAAAATTTCAAACAAAATTATCATCCCAGTACAACCGGCAAGGCACTAATAATTCAGAGTTGACAATGGGTAATTATTCTCAAAAGGGAAGAATCTTGACGTCCATTGGTGCTAGCAAGGATGGGAATGATCTAGACACCTTGATCCAGCCAGGTGCACTCAAGTCCAAATTAAAATAAAAAGATGAGCATGAGTTTCTCTAAGGGGAGACTCAAGAGTAAAAAGACATTTCAATACAGGTCCTCCTCCTCTTCTAAATCAAAGATTATGTCTATTAGAAGCTATAATAGAAAGAAATTTGTGAAGTTGATACCACCAGCTCCAGCAAAGAAGGCGACTAACTACACCTTGTTCACCTCGAAGGCACTTCGAAAAGTAGGTACAACCACTACAAAGGACCTCATAATTGCCCTCAACCAGATGGGGTTCGAAGATGAAAAGGTTGAGAAGACAATCTACTATGGCGAAGTTAAGACCATTGAAGAAGCTATGTACTACCTCGTCCCTGACCAAGCTAAAGCATGGGAGCACAAATTTGTCCCAGAGGCATACTGCAAATCCCAAGATTGGTGCCTCTTCTGCAAACGGCAACAAAAGAAAATGAAGAAGTAAGTAATCTCCTGAAATTCTCTAGGACCAACAGCAAGAATGGCAATACTAGTGAGAAATAGCCGCCAGAATACACCTGATAGCAAAAGCAGAGATATTGAAAATTGTAGCTTGAAATCTGCCGAACAGAAACAAGTGATCCATATGATGGACAAAATCATTGTCAATAACCGCCAGTTTGTCCAGCGGAAGTTTAGAAATAAGCTCTCTGAGACAATCCAAACAGTTAGTCATCCAGGAATGAATGCTTTCAGGATTGGCCAGAGATCTTTCAAAAATTATGGAGAAGAAACACCTAATGCTCTGCTTGAAAACCAAGAGGTTACAGAAATGAATATTCAAGAAGAAATTGGGGATAAAAACTCTAACCTTGGATTTGATATTTCTCAGAATGATGATATATCTGAGTCCCATGAGTTCCAGATTTCCAAAGAAGGGGCAAAGAAGTCTGATAGTAACAATAAGAATCGAGAAAGTAGCCCTAAAAGTATTGCTTCAGAGCCTATGAATAAGAGACTCTCTATTTCGATCAAAAATGAAGAGGATCATCTGATTAACAATGATTCTAAATAATGAAAATATTCCAGTAAAGAGACTTACAAAGAGTAAAACAGGGATTATCGAAAGGGAGTCGCCGAAACATAGATTCCCTTCGGCGACATCCTCCTATCGTTATGGTGATACTTACTTAAAAGCTGGTGAGCATGAGGAGTTTTGTGGGATCTGAAACCAATCATTCGAGAACCACTCCTCTGACTTCAACATTGAGTTGATGTATCTTCAGAACAAATATGGAGAGATGCTGAATCAAGTAACTCAGCTTGATACAGTTAGCAGGCCTTTCACTGCTAACTCAATGTATAGTGCTTTGTCTCGGAAACCTTCTAGAAGACAGAGCAAGCTTGAGAAAGTTAGTATTCCAACAATAACAGTGATTCCAGAGAAAAAGACGATCAATTTCAGGGGGTCTCCTCAGGTCCAAGCAGGGTCTACATGGAATGTTCCCTCTGGAATGAAAAGATCCTTCCTTAGCTCAAATGCAGACTCTGATGTATCTGCTAGATTTGAAATGATCAGAATTGAGCATAGCAAGGCTAGATCTAATTGTCTAAATTATTTGTACTCACATGGAATCATTGACAACTCTGAAGTTCAGAGAAGGCCAAGCCAGTTCCATCAGAATTGCCCAATCTGACTAGAATATTGTAAAAATTCTTTTGAACTTTCAGGGTGAGGACACCACTTCTGAAAGCTATGTCTAAGAGGTCATATAGAGATGAAGATTATAAACTCGCTTGTCCTTGATATTGACTGTCCAGTTCCTGACTGTAAAGAAACAATTGAAATGAATGTGATGATCCAAGTCAGCACAAAAGAAACTATAGAGAAATACAATGAGTACTCGAATAATCTATCTTTCCAAGAAGATAAGCACTTTATCCACTGCATGAACTGCTCAAAGTTGTTTTCTTACGACCCACAGGACTTCTTGGCACATTGTCCCAGATGTAGCTTAGAGATCTGAATCGAGTGCATGGTACCATATCATGTAGACGAATCATGCCATGATTTTGGAGAGCGGAGGTACAAGGAATTCTCTAAAGGAAAGTCAATCCAATTATGTCCTCACTGAAACCAATTTATTGAAAAAGCTAAGAAGTGTAACCACCTTACTTGTCAGCGGTGCATGGCACATTTCTGTATTTTCTGAAGAAAAGATGTACCTGAGAAGTTGAAACGATCGAAGTTGTACATGGATGGCTACTGATGAAATACAATCAAGAGTCCACTGCCAAAGAGTATCAGTATTCAAACAAGCAAATGAAGGATATTCTGATTGGCTATTTTATTTGTACTTCTCTCTCCAATTTTTGTTATGTGTATCCTCCCTTATGTGAGCTTTAAAAATATATCAGCACCAAATGATGAAGCTCAAGAGAAACCTCAGAGAAAAAGAAGTAGGATCTGACATAAGCTGTTAGGAATTCTATGTTTCTTATTGCTGATTTGAATCTTTCCAATAACCTGGGTTTGTTTTATTGTCTGGGTATTTCTTGTAATGAGAAAGTTAACATCAAGATCTCAAAAATCTGGATCAGCAATAGCTCAAAAACCACGCTACCCACCTCATCTTCCTCCTTCTGGGGGTGTAAAATTGATTCCAAGCTCTCAAAATGTCTCCAAATTCTCCAGATCTCACTCCTAAATCTAATTTTATTTATTTTCCATTTCAACCTAGCTTTTAAATCTAGGGGTTTTGGGGTTTTGGGGTTTTGGGGTTTTGGGG